GTTTTCTACCAAAGCTATTTTGGTCAAAATTTTTGATTGAAATAGTTTAAATTCTATAAAAACACTTTAGGCACTTCAAAACGCAATTTACCCATTTTGTTCTTCTAAAAACAAACACTCTTGATTTTTGTAGAGAGAGAATGAGAGAGCGATTTAGAGAGAGAGAGAGTGCTAGGGTTTGGACAAGGCGTCCAGCAACTAGGGACAGTGGTAATGGGCTTCGACGATGGCTTCCGGGTTTTGGCAAGCAGTATCTAGGTCAGGCGACTTCGTTTTTCTTCTATGATTTTCCAAAGGAGAGTTTTGCGAAGGATCTGTGGTTTTGCTTTTGGTCATATGGGAAGGTAGCAGATGTTTATATTCCGGCAAGGTGGGATCGGAGAGGCTGTCGTTTTGGCTTTGTTCGAATGTCAGAGGTCTCAGATGTGACAGACATGGAGAGGAAATTGAATGAGATATGGTTGGGTTCCTACCATCTTAAGGTGAAGGTGGCAGACAATATGAAAAGAGGGAAGGAAGGGACAATGGTGAGACAAAAATCACAGATAGAGAAGAAATGGATTAGGAGGGACAACAAGGTGAATCCAAGGGTGACTTATGCACAGGTGGTGGCCGGAATTATGGATGCAATTGAGGATAGAAATTCCTCGGCTCATGACTTAAGACAAGTTTCTGTATTAAAAGAGAATGAGCCAACAGGGAAAAGGATTGCGGAGGATGGTATAAAGTCCAAAGACTCAGAAGTGGCACCTGAGACAAGGCACGAAGGGTCATCTTAGTATCAATCGATAGGGCGACGACGAGATGCCTTTCAAAACCTGAATTGGTTTTAAATTTTTATCCTTTTGAGGAGGAGGGGGCATGGCTGAAACGAAGTTGGGGGGCCATGGTGAGATCATTAGATATGGTGAAGCAAATACAGAATAGATTCAATGTTGATAGGGTACAGGTTATAGTAGCTTTGCTTGGGGGTCGTTAGGTAGTTTTACTGGATAATTTGGAAGGGTGTCTTGCGGAGTTCATAAAGGAAAATTGAGAGTTGATAGATTATTGGTTTGAATGGATACAGCAAGGTAGCTTAACTACAATGCCTTTATTGAGTAGAATGGTGTGGCTTCGGTTTACAGGAGTTCCTTTGAAAGCATGGAGTGACAGATGCTTCATGGAGTTAGGGGGCTTAATTGGAGAGTTGATTCTTGTGGATGAGGATACAAAGAGTAAATCCTTTTTGTGTGAAGGTAGAGTTTTGATCTTAAGAAATGAAAAAACCAAAATTTCAACCATAGTTACTTTTCTGATTGATGGCCAAGTTTTCCCGGTAACAGTGGAGGAGGAGTGGCGGATGGACCCAGATTGGTGGTTAGCTAGAGAGCGGCGAAATCCAGCAACAGATTCTGATTCAGAAGATCCAAGCAACGGTTACAATTTTAATGAGGACGGATTTTTGGGCGATGATGTCGCTGAATTGGCCGAGGAATGCGCAGCAACGGCTCTTGATGTGCATGCAGGTTTAAATGGGCAAGGAGTTTTGGCGGAAAAAGACTCGGGTGAGTATATTAGGGAACATGGGCTTGGTGTGAGTGGGCTGGGTCTGGGTAGCGTGAGTGGGCCTGAAAATGTAGAGAATGGAGTGCAGCAGGCCGAAAGGGGTAAATTGGTGCCAGCTAGGGCACAACACTGTCGGAGTGATCGAGAAAAGAAATACAAATTTGTAGAGGAGATCTATGTGGGGGGAAGTGGCGTGATGGAACCGAGAAATACAGAGTTTTCGTGGGTTACGGAGAGAACAAAGCTCAGAAGGGACAGAAAGGAAAGATTTCAGATGGTTAGGTCTCGGCAGGAAGTGCAGCTGGAAGACTCTCTGACCGATGGGTGTATTCAACAAAGAAACCATGTTATTCGGCAACAGATGGAGCTGGATGAAGTGCACAAATTATTTGAGAGGGGGCAACGATTAGGAGTTCAGTGTTGACAGAATGAAGTAGAGGTGTTCACAAGGTTGACAGCCTTAGAAGAAAGGGATGCTGTCAATTTCAAAGGGGATTAGATATTCGGTGCTTGTGGTGGGTGAACAGTGAGGTATGCTTTTAATTTATGAAGATTATTTCTTTTAATGTGAGGGGGTTGGGTAGTATGTTGAAGAGAAAAGAGGTTCATAATTTAGTAAGAAAGGAGAAACCTGATTTCTTATTCATACAAGAAACGAAATTAGATGAGGTGGAGGTTTCTTTGTGCAGGATGTTGTGGATTTCGGAGGATTTTGATTGGGTAATGCAAAAATCACAAGGAAATTCAGGGGGTTTATTGTGCATATGGAATAAGAGGAGTTTTGTAAAAAAGAGGAGTTTTGTAAAAAAGAGGAGTTTTGTAAAAAAGAGGGTGTTTGAAGGAAGGGGGTTCATCGGGATTTCTGGGGAATGGGGTAGTCAACAACTCAATTGTAATATGGTGAATGTGTATGCTCCTTGTGATAGAAGAGAAAAGGCTTTGTTGTGGGAGGAGATGGGGGGTTTAGTGTTGGAACAGGGTGGGAGGTGGCTTTTAGCAGGAGATTTTAACGTTGTTCGAAGTATAATAGAAAGGAAGGGGAGATTAGGGGAGACAAAGGATATGGAAGAGTTTAATCGATTTGTGGAAGGGACCGGTCTAATTGATGTCAAATTGTTTAATATCAAGTATACTTGGTATAGATCTGATGGAACCTCAATGAGTAGACTGGATAGGTTTTTGTTATCTTCGGAGATGAGTACATTGGAAAGAGATTGGACACAAGTTGGGGTATGACGCTTAATCTCAGACCACTGTGCTATTATTTTGAAATCGAGAAATGTTGATTGGGGTCCTAAGCCGTTCCGAGCTCTTGATGTATGGCAACAACACCCGAAGTTTAGAGATTTTATGGCGGCTACTTGGGAAAATATACGGATTGAAGGTTGGGCAGCTTTTAAGTGTCAAAAAAAGTTGAAATTATTAAAGGAGGAATGCAAAAGGAGGAACAAGGAGGTGTTTGGAAATGTGGAGGTTAGAGAGCTTGTTACAGCAAATTGAGAAGTTGGATAAAAAAAGTGAGGAGAATGATCTAAATGAGAATGAGGTGATGTTACGAAAGGAGTGCTCTCAGGAAGTTTGGGACATATTACAGAAAAGAGAAGCAGTGTGGAAACAAAAATCGCGTGCCAATTGGGTTGGTCTTGGGGATGCAAATACGGCATTCTTTCATAGATGTGTGCATGCACGACGAGCACAGAATGTAATATCAGGCATCTTAGGTGAGGATGGGTGGGTGGAGGAACCTGAAATGGTAAAGGCGGAGGCAGTGAGGTATTTTTGTCAGTTATTCCAAAATGAAAAGTGGAGTCGTCCAATGATGGGTGGGATTCAATTTCGTAAAATTTCAGCTGAACAAAGGGAGTGGCTTGAAAGGCCTTTCTCAATAAAGGAGATTGAAGAAGGACTTCATAGTTGTGATGACTCAAAGGCACCCGGACCGGATGGGTTTAATTTTAATTTTATAAAGTTCGCTTGGAGCACATTGAAAGATGATTTTGTGAACTTTATGTGTGAATTTCATCAACATGGGAGGTTAGTGAAAGGCTTAAATTCTTCATTCCTTGCATTAATTCCTAAGAAATTGAACCCACTTCAGTTTACGGAGTATAGACCTATTAGTTTGCTGGGGTGTTTGTATAAATTGTTGGCGAAGGTTCTGGCAAATCGGTTGAAAATGGTAATGTCAGATATAATTAGTGATTCTCAGTCAGCTTTTGTTGGTGGTAGGCAGTTGGTGGATAGCGTGCTAATTTTGAATGAGGTAGTGCATGAGGTAAAAAGAAGAAAGCAACAAAGCTTCATGTTTAAAGCTGATTTTGAGAAAGCTTACGATTGTGTGGATTGGGGTTTTCTAGATTGGATGATGGATAGTATGGGGTTTAGGGATAAGTGGAGAAAATGGATTTGGGAATGTCTCTCAACTGCAAGGATTTCAGTGTTAATAAATGGAAGTCCAATGAAGGAATTCTCTGTATCCAAACGCCTTCGTCAAGGTGATCCTTTGTCCCCTTTTTTGTTTTTATTGGTGGGAGAAGGTCTGTGTGGGCTGGTCAAAAAAGCTGAGTGTGAAGGGCTTTTGAGAGGGGTGGAGATTGGAAGAGGAGGGGTGGTGTTTGTCGCTGTTACAATTTGCAGATGACACAATTTTCATAAGGAAGGCTGATGCAGAAAATGTTAGAGTTGTGAAAGCTATCTTGCTTTGCTTTGAATTGATCTCTGGATTAAAGATAAATTTTAGCAAGAGTCATTTGTATGGGTTTAATGTTTCGGATGGTTGGTTACAAGGTGCTGCAGACATGCTACACTGTGGGGTGGGCAAGGTGCCTTTTATATACTTGGGTTTGCTAGTAGGAGGAAATCCGGGGAGGAAAAAGTTTTGGAAGTCGGTGCTAGATCGGTTTCATCAGAAGCTTGCCACTTGGAAAAGCCCACTACTGTCCTTTGGAGGCCGGATTACCTTAATACACTCGGTACTCTCTGCTATCCCTATTTTTTATTTATCTTTATTTAAGATTCCTAAAGGTGTTCTTGTTGAGTTGATTAAAATTCAGCGGAATTTTTTTTGGGGAGGAGCGAGTTTGGCTAAAAAAATTCCATGGGTTAGTTGGGAGTGTATGTCTGTGGAGAAGGGGAAGGGGGGTTTAGGAGTGGTTAATTTAGAGAGAAAGAAGGATGCTTTGTTGGGGAAATGGTGGTTTCGATTAGGAGATGGTTTAGATAGCTTATGGAAGAGGGTGATTTGGGGAAAATATTATGGGGGTAGGAGGGAGAGGGATGTTACTTCCGTTGAGTGTTTGAATATGTCGCCGATATGGAAGGATATTGTGAGTTTGGGTAGTAGATTGGAACGATTATCGAATATGTTAATAAGAGGTTTTAAGTGGGAAGTTGGGGATGGAAGCTGTGTGGATTTTTGGAGTGACAAATGGGTGGGGGATAAGTCTTTGAAGGAGTTATATCCTAGGTTATTTGTGTTGGCTATAAGGACGGAAGGAATACTGAAGGATATGGGTGTGTGGCGTGGAGAAAATTGGGTTTGGGATTGTAGGTGGAGATGTGGATGTAGAGGGAGGGCAGCAGAAGAGGAAGAACATTTTCGGGCATTGATCAATGGATTTAAGTTAAGGATAGATAGGGAGCATTCTTGGAAATGGGTGTATAGTAGTGATGGTTGTTATTCGGTGAAGGCAGCATATGAGTTTCTAACACCAAATTCTAGTTTTTTTGAGGAGAAATGGGCTAAGGTGATTTGGAATAGATATGTTCCTTCTAAAGTTAGTGTTTTTGGGTGGAGAATGTTTTTGAATAGGTTAGCAACTAAAGAGAATTTATGTAAGAGAGGAATTGTGTTGTCAGGGGGCGATATGGGTTGCGTGTTCTGTCATGAGGGGGTGGAGCAACTTCATCATATTTTATGTGGGTGTAAGAGGGTATGGTTAGTATGAATGAAGGTATTGGGGTGGTGGGAGATTCAGAGTGTTTTACCAAATGATATGTTTAGTTTGGGGGAGTTAGTGGTATTTGGTATAAGTGGAGGAGTTTTGAGGGATTTAGGGGCTCTCATGTTTCTTGTTATGGCTTGGTTTATTTGGTATTGGAGGAATATGTATGTGTTTAGGACAGAGGTGATGATTGAAGGGCAATTATTTGAGTCTATTCAAGCAAAATCTTTTTTATGGCTCAAAAATAAGGAACCAAGGTGTGTGTTTTCGTATACGGATTGGATGTTAAGGCCAAGGGAGTGCAGGGAGGCTATTGTGCAACATTGCAAGAATCTAAAGAGTGCTAAGAAACTGCAACGAGAAGCAATCTGGAAGAGTGCTGATCAGGAAGGATAAAGCTCGTTCAATGTGCGTTTGGTGGTTTTTTACTGTTGGATTTTGGGTGCTAGAAGCTTGTCTAAGCTGCAGATGCAATTGTATGCTGTTTTTATGCTTCTTTGTTTCGGTTCTGCTATGTTTACATGATGGCTCTATTTGATGTTTTAATATTTTGTGATATAGTGCATCTTTGATTAGTGTAAATGGACAGGAGTACCCCTTGTGCTCTATATAATAAGATTTGTTTTTTGCTGATAAAAAAAAACCCATTTTGTTCTTCTTTCTTTTTGCTTTTCCCTTCATCCCGACTTCCACACTCATCTTTCTCATCTTTCTCTTCCTTTTAATTACTTCCCCTCCTCATTTCTCTTTATTTCCATCATTTTCTTTCATTTCTTCCTTTTTCTAATCTTCTCTTTTCTTCACTTTCCCTTTTCTTTCATTCATTCCGCTCATCCTCTCTTCCATTTTCTCACATTCTCTTTTCCTCGTACATTCCTTCCTTTAATTTCATCTCCTTTAATTTCTTCCATTTTCTATTTTCCATTAATTTTTAATCTTATTAGTTTATTTCTTTTATAATTTACAAGTTTGTTTCAATTAATATTGATATCGATTTTATTTTTTATAGGATTTTATAATAGAAATTAAAGGTATTTTAAGAAGGCATCTCATTTGATACTTCTATTTTTTTATTTTATATATTTCATTAAAATTTTGTAATTTTTTCTTTTTTCATTAAGTTTCCCATTTAGTTTGTAATTTGTGATTAACTCTTTCTTGCTGTTAAGGGATGGAGCAACCAAAAAAAAAAAATAAAACAGTTAGTAATTAACTCTCTACTGTTTAGCTTAAATTTAAATATTTTTATAGAACTTTGCTTTTTGTTATATAATATTCAATTTAAAATTTTGATATATTTGGATTTGGATAAAATAAATAGATTTTTAAATATTAATTAAATGTGTTTTGTAATTATATAAAAATAGTAATTATATGTATACTATAATTACATAAAT